TTTACAAAAGTTGATTCCCTCCAAGTCTTCTAATAACTGGCAGAATTAGAATTAGAATCAAGTCTAGCAGGCGCTGAGGCTATTTGCCAGCAAGCTTTGCCTTGGTCCAATCCTGTGTGATTTTCAAGAGTGCCCTGTGAAAGGGAGGCACGACAATTGAGTGAGATCCTGGCTGGCCAGCCGAGTTGATTAGAGTCATCCAGTTATGCCATATGTGAGGGTTTGATCCCAGTCAGGACACATACAAGAAACAACCAATGAATGCATAAGTAATGGGAACAAGAAAGTGATGCTTCCTTTTCTCTCTCCTCTCCTGTCCTCTCCCTCCCTGCCGTCCTTTCTCTCTTTCTAAAATCAATTAAAAAATGAAATCAGTAACTGTATGAAAACATAAGAAGAACAGGACATGATCACTGAGGTCAGGATTGTGCTGGGGAGTCTGGGGTGTGCATGGCGACCTGTCGTCTGTCCACTGACCAGTAGGAAAAGGTCTGCAGTAGAGGTGGGGCCTTAGGCTGGCTCCCAGGCCCCTGCCTCTACATTGCCAACCACTGCATCACCCCTGACACCCAGGGAATGTGAAGAGAGTTGCAGGGCTGCAGAGGGATGTGGAAACTGGAAGAGGTAATGCTGAGCAGGAGGATAGGAGAGGACCAACTCTGTCAGAAGCGACCAGAATTCAAAGGGGAAAAGGAACTACTAAAGCAGGGGTGACCAGAAAAAGATCCCTAAAAGTTCGGGAGTCCAAAGCAAAATAGTAATTCCAAACCTCTCCGTTGGAATTGGGATTAAGGGGTCACTAATTAGGTGTTCTCTTTGAAAACAAACCTTGCTGGAGAGAAGCCAAGAAGAGTAGGTGCTACAAACTGTGGCCTCATCTACACAGCGCCATCACCTTGGTTTGCAAATCCCTTAGTAGCCAGAGCCTTCAGCATAATCTGACCTGGGTTTGATCCTTTCAGTGCATTCTTTTCTTTTGTGGAGTATAGTCGTGGTTATTGCTGCACATGGAAAACTTTAGTAGACATTGCGGTGGAGACACAGGCCTATGTCAGCGTTGGGAAATGCCTGTTCTCAGGGCAGCTTTGCAGATGTAGTTCTGCTTGGGTTTTGTAAATCATTGCTCATCTTTGTCTCATTTTTATTTCTCTTCCGATGCACAAGGCAGCATGTCGAGTGCATTGTAACCAACTTGTGCATGTAGACTGAGAGATTAGCTTACTAGGCGTAGGTTTTAAGTAAATTGTGTAAAATTAGCTAAGGAAAGAGCCAAGGCACTCAGCCACTTCTTCAATATTAAACAAGTATATGATTAATGTTGAAGGAGAGATTTTTTTTTTCCTTGAGGCCCAGGAAAGAAAAGCATTTTTTAAAAATTGTCTAGTACAGTTGACATCCAGTATTGTATTAGTTTCAGGTGTACAGCATAGTGATCAGTCATTTGTATAACTTCTGAAGTGATCTCCCTGATAAGTCTCGAAACACCTACCTGTTACTGCAATATTATTACAATATTATTGACCGTGTTCCCTAAACTGTACTTTACAACCTCATGGCTGTTTTTATAACTGCCAATTCATACCCTTTAATCCCTCTACCTTTTTCACCCAGCCCCCCAACCCCTCTCCCATCTGGCCACCAGCAGTTTGTTCTCTATTATCTGTGAGTTTGTTTCTGTTTTGTTGTTCATTTCTTTTGTTTTTTAGATTCCACATGTAAGTGAAATTATGTGGCATTTGTCTTTTTCTGACTTATTTCATTTAGCATAATGCCCTCTACATTCATCCATGTTGTCTCAAATGGTGAGATTTTGTTCTTTGTTATGGCCAAACAATACTCACATTCCATTGTATATAAATGTACCACCTCTTTACCCAATTATCTTTTGATTGGAGCATTTAATTTGTTTACATTTAAAGTAATTATTGATAGATATGTACTTATTGCCATTTTATTCATTGTTTTCTGATTGTTTTTATAGTTCTTTTCTGTTCCTGTTCTCTTGCTCTCCTCTCTTGCATGTTGATGACTTTCTATAGTGTCGCATTTGGATTTCTTTTCTTTATTTCTTGTAAATTTTTGGTTTGTGATTACACGTCCTTCATAAACACTGTTTTAAGTTGATGGTTACCTAAGTTTGAATATATTCTAAAATCACTACTCTTTTTACTCACCCCCTCCACATTTGTTTTCTGTTGTCATATTTAACTTCTTCTGTGTGTTTGTGTGTATCCTTTAATTTACTGTTATAATTACGTATGATCTTCCTACTTTTGCCTTTTAACCTATGTACTCGTTTTAGTTTTGGTTGAGCCACTGCTTTTATGATGTTTGCCTTTGTCAGTCAGAATTTTTTTTCTTTATAATATTTCCTTATTCATATTTATGATTTTTTTCTTCTTCTTAGAATAGTCCCTTTAATATTTCTTGTAATGCTGATTTGGAGGTGAAGAACTCCTTTAACTTTTTCTTGTCTGGGAAGCTGTTTCTCTCTCCTTAGCTTTGAAATGCTAGCCTGGCTGGGTAGAGCGATCTTGGCTGTAGGTCCTTGCTTTTCATATGCGTGTTCATTTTTTAAAGGGTCTGTGAGCTGGCAGGTTTTCAAATTTTTAGTATTTCAAAAATAATTTTGAAGAAAATTTTAAAATAGGGAAACATACAAAGAATACCATAATGCCCATATTTATACCACCTGGCATTATCTTTTCACATTTTACCAAGTATTCTTTAAGAGTTTTTCATTTAAAAAATGCATCATTATAGATAAAAATTAAATTGTATTATTCTACATACTACCTCTCCAAGCCATTCTCTTCTTCCATATTTCTAGTAATAACCTCTATCATGAAACTAATGAGTATCTTTCCAGGCTGTATATAAATTTAGATAGATGTTTATATGTCTGTTTATACAGACATGCAGGCGTTTGTGCACAATACTGTTTTTCTTATCTCTGAGTAGTAGTCCATTGTAAATATGGGGTGGGAAAAAGTAGGTTAAATTACCAGCTATTATTACCTATAAGATATGAAATAATAATAATTATAATGAGCAGAAGATAAATAATACAAGAATAAACTCTTTTGCATACTCACAGCTGTAAACCTACTTTTGCCTACCCTTGTATGTACCACCTGTTTCTCCAGTCATCTATTGCGGGACACAGGCTGTTTCCACGTCTTGGCCACTAGCAATAATGCTACAATGAACATAATGGTGCCTATATCTTTGCGAATTTAGGGGCTATATCCAAAAGAGGCATTGCTGGATCATATGGTAATTCTATTCTTAATCCTTTGAGGAGCCTCTACCATTTTCTATAGTGATTGAGAACCTAAACACACTTCTTCCACGGAATTGTTGATAAAACACTCAGCCAATAAAAATAGATCTATTTAGTGTACAGTTACTCATATTCTATTAAATTAATATAACTTTTAAGAAGCAGTATTGCTTGGTAGTTCAGACCTGTAAAATAAGAATAGTGAAAGCTCCTATCTCACAGGATTCTTGTGAGAAATAAGTGGTTTAATTCGAATAAAGCAGGTAGAACAATACCTGGTGTGAAGTAATAAGCACCCGATAAATGTTAGCTATTATTTGCTATTACCATCTATCCATTGCCCTATGGAACCTAATTATTAGGTTTCCAACTTTCATTATTGCACTTACCACCACAATGAAAGCCTGTGTCTGTGTATCAAAGTGTCTTTTGGGTATGTCCCTAGAAGAGAAATTGATGGCTCATGGGCTATGCATGTTTGCAGTTTTACTTGGTTCTGCCAAAGCCAGCTGCACCAACTTCCACTCCCTAGTGCAGCCAGTGAGTTCCCATTTCCTCACATCCTCAGTAGCAGTTGGTGTTGTCTGACTCCCCATTCTCCTCCGTCCCCAGCCTCTGGCATTGCTAACCCACTTTCTCTCTCTGTCTCTACCTATTCTGGGCATTCTGTTTAATGGAATCACATAATACATGGGTTTTTGTAACTGGCTTTTTTCATTTCATGCTTTTGAGGTCCATCTACTTTGTAGCTTATATCAGCATTTTATTCCTTTTTATGGTCCAGTAATAGTTCATTAAGTGGATATACCACAGTTTGTCCATTTTTCAGCCAATGGAAATTTGGTTTTCTACCCTTGGCTGTTTGAATAATGCTGCTATAAACATTCATATGCAAATTTTTGAATGGACACATTTTTTTTATTTCCTTGCTTATACATATATTTAAATACCTAGCAGTGGGACTGTGGGGTCATATGGCAACTATGTTTAACACTTTGAGAACCTGCCAAAGTGGTTGCACCATTCTACATTCCCAGGAAACTGTGTCAGGGTTCCAAGTTCTCTAAGTCTTGGCCTCCAACACTTCTTATTGTCTTTTTGATTCTAGCCATTCTAGTGAGTATAAAAAGGCAACTATTTCACGGTTTTGATTTGCATTTCCTTGATCTAATGATGTTGAGCCTTTTTTTCATGTGCTTATTGGCCATTTGTATGTCTTCTTTGAGAAATGTCTGTTCAAATCCTTTGCCTGTTTTTAATTGGGTGATGTGTTGTTCTGAGTTGTAAGAGTTCTTCATGTGTTCGGAATACAAGTTCTTTGTCAGACTGTGTCCATATTGTCTGCTGAGAGGATGGACCACAAGTCAGATAGCCCCGAAGTGTATATGGACAATAAAGTGACTGCATCTACTTTTCTGTAGATTAGAAGCTCCTGCATTTATCTCAAAAATACAGACTTTCCACGGTTGTCTAGGTGAGCCTCTCAGCCAGTGAAGGTAATTCACTTTTGAAAACACAGGAGATATACTTACACACTAATTAGTTTGAATTTAATAATGGAAAGCATCGAGACCATTCCTTACATTTCCAAACTGTTGATTGGTTAACTCAGCCTCATTTGGATTTCTGTTTAACCTGGCCTCTTCCTTTTTTCTTCCTCTCCTTTTTCTCCTCTTTCTCTTCCTCCTCTCCCCTCCCCACTCAATTTCAATTTCAGATTGAAAATGGCTCAGGAATCAGTCAGCAAGTTGACGTCAGAGAAGAAAGTGGAAACAAAGAAAATCAACCCCACGGCCAGTCTGGTAAGATGCATGTTTCAACATATCCTCAAGATTTCTTGTTACAAGTAGGGTGCACCCAGCAGTGTGTCTGAATTTCAAGGCTAAAACTCAGGACAATAGCAGGTAGTATCCACATTCTCCGTTCTCCTCCCAGAGTAGCATACGGTAAAAAAAAAAAATATATATATATATATATATATATATATATGGGAGGAGGGATTGAGGAACAAAACGCAGCTTCATGCATTTGCCCACCAAACTCAGCTAAGTCATTTCCGATAAACCAAATTGAGTCACTTGCCATTTCACGCCTTTTCACATGCCCCTCTAATGCCATGATCCCCCTTATCTCAAAGCACCTTTCTCCTGAAATGTTTAAGCATTTTGTTCTCATCAATTTCTTTTCCCTGTTAAAGAAATGGGCAGGACTTATCCTCTTTTGATGGTTGGGAAAACAGAGATGCAGAAAGAATGCAGCCTACATCGTATCGCTACAGTGAATAACAAGAACCAGGACCAGGCTCCAGGCGCCAGAAGTCTCTCCCTGTCCTAGAAACTAGCAGCCTCATCAGGCCTCCTAGTTGTGAGGCCAAGTTGTCCTCCACAGTCACGTTTTCAGGGTAGATCACAATGAATCTCCACCTCTTTGTTACAGACAATAGTCGAAATAGATAAATGGTTATGAACCCAAGATGTCAAGAGTTCAAATTCCAGCTCAGACACTTAACTAGTTGTAAAACCTTAGTGAAGTTATTTTGCTTCTCTGCCTTTTGCAAAATGAGGGAAATAATATTACCTGGCTTTAGGGTTATTTTGAGGAGGCGGAGAAGAGACATGTCAAGTGTCTAGCACATAATAAGAGCTCAATAAATGTTCTTTTCCTTGTTAAGAATTTCCGCCGCTTTGGCTGATGCGGCAATGGGCAGTGAGTGGAACTATCACTCTGATTTTCAGGCCCTCACTTTGTTTTTCAGACCCTGCCTTCCCTGTGCCCTGACCTCTTACAGCTACTTAATGTTATCTTTTTGTGGCACAAGTACTTTTTGCCAGTCCCTTGAAATCCTTTGACAGTCGAAGTGGAGCATAAGTTATAAAGTGAGATGACTTCCGTTGATTGACTGTGCTGTCTCTCATAACAACCGCCTCGGGAGCTAAGTGAGTGTTGAGTGAGGTTCACAGGTGAGCAATGGAGAAGTCTGAGCCATACAGCTTGGTCAGGGAAAGCAGTAGTCAGGACACACAGCCCCTACCTGAGTGGATGTGTCCTCCATGCCTGTTGACACTGTATTCATTACGCTCATTTGTGTGATTGTCAGAGGCAGTGAGCACAACGCTGATTTTTATCTCTCTTCTTCATTGGCCTCTACTCCTTTCCCCAAGCATCTCATTTGGACCTCTATCCTAACTTTTACTGCCAAACCCTATCTCCAGAGGTAAAGAAAATGGACTCAGCTTTACAGACCAGGTATTTTCAAATGGTGTGCCACAAGAAGTTTTAAAATATGCAATACCTGACTACCTCGTCAGGGGCACTGACCTCTTTTCCCTTAGACTGTCAGATTAAAAAATGGCAGGTGCCAACACAAAAAGCCATCCAGTGTGAGTGAATCAAAATTACCCCTATTTTCCTGTCAGATCAGCAAAAAATATAATATATTTTTGGGTGTGTCACAGAACTTTAGTAATTAGTTTATGTGTCATGAGATGAAAAATATTGGAAATCACTGCTATAGACGAAAGGTCAACAGTGCTATGCTTTTATAAGTGACCTTCACCACGAGCAAGCTCCCAGTTGTGGTCCTCAGCTTAGAGTTGTTTGTTGTGTTGTTTATTTTCATAGAAATTAGGGAAGAGCTTGTAGACTGATTCCTGATTTAGTTTCTCAAGTCAGGCATGGGATTCAGACTCGGGACGGGTGTTTAAAATCATCAACTTACATTTACGTCTAAGCCAATATAGTAATTCACTGTAGCATCGCACCGCACAGATCACAAGCAGCTGGAAATCCATTCTCGAAGGGCTTCTCTCTGCATCTCCTCTTTCCAAAAGAGTGCACTTCTCCCATTTCTTTTTTAGCCTTTGATTTTCCCACCCCTAAAAGCAGACACGCCCATCACTGTGTTTAATCTATTTACTTCTCCAGAGTCCTGGAAACAGGGAGGGTCCGTGTTTCTGTTTTGTGCACTCTTGTTCTCTGCCTTCCTGCCAGCAGACTTCCAGGTTCTTCCCCCATTAGAAGGCTGGCGCTGGCAAGGAAGCTCAGAGAGGGAGAGCAGAGCGCCCGGGCAAAGCGGGAACTCTTGCCACTCTGTAAGTCAGGCCCTCCTCCAGGGTGACTTTTCCTATCTAGACTCCCTAGAAACTATTTCTCGAGCATTCCCTAAGTCCATTAGTGGGCCGAGGTGAGCAACACCACAAAGTTAGGACTTTTGTCACAGAACAACAGCCTGGAATCGCAAAGGTCAGTGTTTCCAATGGATATACTTGGTTTGCTAGCTGGTTATTAATTTTGTTTGTTTGTTGGAGAGAAGGGTGATATGTTGGGAAGGGCCGGCAACTGAGGGTTTCAGGAAAGAAGGATAAAGATAGTCTTATTTCTGCAGCATGTAGGACAACTCTAGAATTGTAGACCAAAATGTGAGAAACGTATCAAAATTTGAGGAAGATGAAAAGTTAGAAAAAGGAATGATAATAAGCTCATTTTCTTCCTAAACTACAGAAAGAAAGACTGCGTCAGAAGGAAGCCAGCGTGACTACCAACTGAAAAAGAGACACGAAAACGGTGATGGCAAGACCGGGTTCCTTGCTTACTCTGTCACACCAGCGCTGCAGGAGGTTCTTGAAAGATATGTTACTAAATGCTTCTTTTGCTCCTCTCTATGTGAGGTCATCTGCAGTGGGAACCCCTGCCTTCTCAAAGAAGTCCCTGGTTAAACCACAGAAACAATGAAAAGCTGTTAAAGGAAACATTGCGGGAGTGTTGATCATTGTTTCTTATAGGGGTTCAAAGTCTACTTTGTTATAAGACCAGAACAAGTACCACGATTTTCCAAACTTTTTTTAAAAGTAGAGATTTTGAACTTTCTAACCCACTCTTCATATATGTAAATTTGTGAGGGAAGAAAAGGATATTTTATGGCAGTTGACTTGAAGGAGTTCAAGCCTTTACCTGCTGCTGGTTTGATTATTGGTCTTAATTTTGGTCCCACTGCATGAAGATTTTGAAGTGTCTTTCTCGCCAAAAGTGTTGAAATTTACCAAAACTACTTTTAAAAAGGTCCAAGACTTTGTAATCCCCAGATGAGAGAAATGGTTGTTTTGTTGTTGTTGTTCATATTATGACAAGGAGAGAAAATGGAATTATCCATGGACAGAGAAGGGGCAGAATAACCACAAACTTCATCCTGGAGAACAAAGTATGATACAGGGAGTTGACATCAGCCATGAAGCAAGACCCATTCCTTGTTTTAATGTCAATTAATTGTGGTTTCCTGGACCAGCAGGGATTCTCCACCCCAAATTCTAGAAGAAACAATGACACCTGAGCAGGGAGACAAGTGACCAAGTAACAGAGCACATTTAACATGTCAGGACATTCGTGAGTGAGCAGTGCCATGAGCCAGATGTCACGTTCTGGGACCGTGTGCCGCCGGACCTTTCCCAACAACCCCAGGAGGCAGTTTCTAGACAAGATTGCAAATGTTACTCGCAGCCTTTTATCATGACCTTGACTGACAGGCATGTGATGTAGGGTGAAGCAGGGGTCTTTGATGTCTGAAAAATTAAGGTCAGGAAAGTTCTTTACATCCAGATGCAAAGAAGATGATTATGTTCATCTTAATCTTGGAGTGGAATATCATGTAAATGCAGCTTTTTCTAACCCCGGGAGCTGACATGACCACTGCCCCTTGAGTCACAAGAGAAATGAATCTATCTTGAGAGGGGAGCAGAGAGAGGACTGGGGGTGAATTGATAATAGGATCGAAGACTATCAGGTTTGGGCCTTGAAGGGAGAGCGGTCAAAGCTTTCTCCTCCAATTGGTGGACAACAGTCTGGACATGAGCAACGACCTTAAAACCCTTCCCAGCCCAGCTGCTGTTGTCCCAGGATCTTCCCAGAAGCTCTCAACTTGCCAGGTGCCTGAGTTTCTACCCAGGACATGCCTGCCAGTTACCAGCCTCCTCAGGGACCCATAATAGATCCTGCTAATTAAAGCAGTACCATATCCTCAATATAATGCCCATCTCGGGAAGCAAGGATGCAGTCAGGATCAAAGCAAGCCTCCAAAGCCATATTCATGCAGGTGCTAACCACCTTTTCTAACAATTCAAAAGAGAGAAATATGGTAACATAGTTGGGTTGCCGATTTTTTTTTTCCAAGTCAAAATAAAAGGATGAGATAAGCAAAATAAAAAAGCTGGTAAGAAGCTTACAGGACTAAAAGAAGTTCCTTGTGAGCAACAAGCTTTTCATGATGTTTTCTTACATTGTTCATTCCTTTGCACTTAACTATGAAGGAAACCTAAGAAATTCATCTGCGGAAAACAAATTCCCCTTACAGCTATCCTGGGCTCTGCGGCATTCCTTTTGGTATGACCATGCAAGAGAAAAGGACCTGTTTTGCCCAGGCCTTGGGAATCAACTTTGAGTTCAGTAAGACCAACAGAAGTTTAGATCCATGTGGGTCCTTACAGACGTGATGGGAGACAGCTGCTGGTGGCTTCCAATGGGGTCACTGCGGTCCACTTCAGGTCTTGAAGTAGGATGCTCATCAGAAAACCACTGGAGATGAGCAGGACTGTCTCTTCAGCCACATAACCCTGCGAGAACTTGCTCTCAGGGGTCCGGTGCTGAAGAGTAATGAGCGGGAACATTCAGTTTGAGAGTCAGGCAAGTGCAGCCCAAGGAGGGTTTCATCCTCATGGACAGGCTAGAAATTGGCAGTAAAATACCGATTTCTAAAGAGCAGGGTTTGCCTACGTGGGTGAAATATGGTGATTTTGTAAGATTAGTCAAATACAGTATGTTAGTGCATTAAGACACCAGGCCAAGATCTCCATTATTTTCGCGCTGTTTGAATACTGCGTTATGTATCCAAATGTCCCCTCCCTACCCACACTCAGCCTGCACTGTTGACACCACCTTCATTTCTAACTTAAGTTGATGATAAGTCAAGGTTCATGAGAATTTGTTCAAGGTAGGCCATCTAAAACAACCTTAAGGCCTTTAGAATGTTCCCTCTAAAATACAGTTGAGATGAAGTTTAAATACAACAGGTGTCTCTAAACTTTATAAAGAGAGGAAGTAGTTGAAGTACCACTTAGCAGCTTGAGCATTTCAGGCAAACAGGATTTAAGTGGCTGTTCTAAGTCCCACCCCCTAGAACAAGAGGAAGAGTGGCCAGTAATGCTACTCTATTTAACCACTCTCACCTGACTCACTAGCCAGACTCTGAGAAACCTTTACTTATAGTAACATCATCTCTTCCTAGACAAGATTCATTAAATCTGAGGGCACAGGTGGATAGCAGTTCAGATTCTTGCACGAATAACTGGCATCATCCTCAAGCACACAAGTATATCATATATTAAACCAGAGTATACTATAACCATATGGTGGCACGGGGGACATCAGGCCTGTGAGGTATCAAAAGCAGGTTATAAGGAGGTATGCTATACGGTTTTTAACTTAAGAAGAAGCTGCTTACCAAGGGGAGAAAAAAGGGGAAAGCGTGGTCAAGCAGAAAGTGATAATGGTGAATCACCAGTCAGCACAGGTGGCGGGCCTGCCGCCCAACAGCAGCCTTTGAATTCCTGAGCTGACGTCCATGATGTCTCTTCAAATGCTCACTGCAACTACCGAGCAAGTCACGGAGGAGGAAGTCCTGAAATCTGAGAAGTAGGATAGGGAAACCTAGTGGTGCTGTCTGGAAGTGTGGCCTAAACAAACAAGCGACATGGTTGAGGACTTGAATGTCAGATTGGATGCTGGTCTCCAATGTACTGCTCCCCTAGAAAGGACAATGGGAACTGCACACCTGCTGGGCTGCCTTCACGCCCTCTTGGTCCATAAGTACCATAAGGAAAGGTGTTTCCTAAATCAAAGCTCATGTGCTGCTGGTGGAGCAACTGGAGAAACTGAAGGAATAAAATTCTTTGGTGGTATTGGAAACCTCCACAAACATAACCATCGGTATGGCTCTCCCATGGACCAGGATTGGATGTAGCAGAAGAAATATAAGTATTTTTGCACTTCTCTCCATAGATTACACTGCCTGCAGTGGAGAGTTTTCACCTTAATTATTCTTGCTCTCTTGAATGTTATGTTTCTCATTTCTATGTCTCCCCCGTTGCCTGGAGTCAGTGAAGCAGATCAGTGCTAGAAGCTCCCTTGCAAACGCAAACAGCCTGTGCGAAGGGGAATTAGCAAGGCAGACCTGCGGTCTCTTTCTCAGTAACCAACTTTAACTCTGGCAGATTTTAACTCTTCACTCCCTAATATCCTAAATTGGTCTATTTTGTCATACTCTCCCTTCCCCTAAACAAAGATAAAACCAGTTCAGGGATTTCTGTGTCAAAGAGAAGGAACAAGTCCAAAAAATATAGATTTTTATTCCCAAATATCAAATCCAAATATAAAATATACAATTTTATAAAGTAGTTTAGTTTTCTTCAGGAATTGCTAGGAAAAACTATGTGTTAGATTTGAGGTTCATTTTTCTTTGATTCTGCCTGTTTTATTAGAAAGAAAAAGAAGAAGAAAGAAAGAAAAAGGAAGGAAAGATGGAAGCAAGGAAGGAAGGAAAAGAGGGGAGAGAAAGATGAAACAAAAAAGGAAGGAAGGAAGGAAGAAAAGAAAAGAAAGAAAGAAAGAGAGAGAGAGAGAAAGAAGGGCCAAGAGCTGGAAGGGAAAATAAAAAACAATATCAGATTTGGTAATCTACAAAATAATGTATTAGTTCCTGAATCACAAAATAAAAATGAGCATACTGCTAAATCCAGTGGGCTTATTTTTTAAAAAGCCACATACAAGGAGAAGTGGCACGGTGTAGTAAGAGACGTTCTAGGGTATTACAGTTTTTTTCTGGATTTTCTCAAGAGCAGCTTATCAATTGGTGGAACATCCAGAAGACCATGACAATCACATTTCTCATATTAAGTATTGTGCCCTTAGGAGCGATACCACTGAAGAGCATGAGTTCAATAAAGACCTGAACTTCCGTTCATGTCATCTCCTTTGTCATCACAAAGAAATCTTCAAATAAGGGACACATCTGTGTGACGAGGCTAATAGTGCCTAGTATTTGAAAAGTAGGAATCATTTTTGCTGTTCTACATGTAAATAACTTATCGGATTTTTTCCACTTTCCTTCTCTAGAGAGATACAACCCAGCTGCTTGGAACCTTCTCTGTCATTGGGGCAGAAGTTGCTTAAAGAAAAGCACCTTCAAAAACAGGCCTCAATATATCTGGCTCCTTTAGACTCACATACCAGTATGTATAACTCTGTTAATGAGTGAATCCAGGCATAGCTAGTCTCTATACACAGTTGTATGTGACTGAGAAGCCCATTTTGGGGCATTTCTGCACACCCATCAGTGGTTGACACCTTGTTAGAAGCACTGATTGTTAGGGGCACAATTCTTTATTTCCCTCCTAAGGAGTGGGCAGTCCCTCCTCCTGATCAATGATTTGCCGGGCCATAGTGAATTCCAAAGAGTTTTAACATGCCCAACTTGAAGACGATTCAGTAGTCTTGTTTGTTTTAAAACCTTAATCAACACTGTGATATAAACTTAGTGCTTAGGGAATTTGTGTGGTTGACA